GGCCGTGATACACAAGAAACGTTTCAAACCTCCATGTTGGCTCCTCTTGAAAAACAAATTTTCATTACAAATATCAAGTATCAACGATAACATTTCAATCGTAGACGATTTAAACTTTCCAGGGGGTAAGCTATCGTTGAAAATGTTGGATTGGGCGTACTCGCTTATTTCTTCCTAAAAGCACAGAAACGTTGACAACCTACGCTTACCGGTCTACCAGTTCGACTCCACTGACAATGAGATATAAAAAAACAAAAGGGAACAAAGTGTTCCCCGAGTGTTCACCCTCTCGAAACACAGTGTCAGTCCGAGTCGTCGATCCCGCGGGAAATCAAACGCACCGCAGCGACGTGTTTTTCAATTTAAGAAAAAAAAATAACTACAATGTCGGTGCCTTCCATTTTTTGCTTGAAAACACCCGGCAATGTTGATCAGGGGAAGCGGGGAAGAGCTGGTGTAAAATGCTTCATTCGAATTTCCAAAGATTTTACGTTCCACGAGAATAAAATATAGTTTTTCAAAAGCTCCAAAATTGTACTAAACGGACGCGTAAAACAAGGGAGCGATCATTCGTTTCGGGAGGGAATATCAAATATCGGTATTCGATATCGTATACAACGGTGACAACGTGACTGAATCCAATTAGCGATACTGCCAGCCGATAATATTAATTATAGATATCCACGAGAACTACACCTTTCGATGAGTCAAACGGAAATGTTGATTTAAACAAATTACGATTTGCAATTCTTGTCGGTCATCTATTTTTAATTAACTATTAAATGTGCATTACACTATCTCGGAGCTACTTGTTGTTCGATAAGTTTACTTATACGTCGCGAGGCAATTGTGATAATTACAAAATTCAAGATAGAGTTTACTGTACTTTACTTTGCTTTACTCTACCATTTAAAATAATGTAAAGCGAATCAACGATCCGTACTTGGAACATTATAATTTGTAACATTGAATCTTCACGACGGATAAACCGCTTCAAAGTATATTTTTGCGAGTTTCACAGAGAATGTTGGAAGCCATTAGGGTAGTTCCAAGAAACGACGAATCCGCTCGATAGGCGGTGCTCGGTCACACATATTCTCGCGCTAAAGGAAACTAGGCGAAAGTCGTTAAACGAGCCGAAAACAACGTAAGAGCGCAAACATCTGCTATATGTCGCGTTCGTGAAATGCGAACCATCTCCAAGGTGGCCGTCGCCGTTGGCGATCGTTTTTTACGAAAGTACGTTCTGACATACACGCCAACCCAACCCTCTGTCTCTCGTGCAAACAACACGTGTGTGCGGAGCTTAAAAGCCTCCACCGATAAAGTTGTGCTTGCAAAATGTGCCGATCCTTTGTGTATTCCCGTCGATGTGCGTCGAAATAACACTCGATGCCAGCGATGCTGCAAGCACGGACATATCGTACGAAAACACGCACAATGGCTCGAGGGTCGTTTTTATGGTTGACATTGTTAATTTTTGTTTACAGTATTGTCTCGAAATAAGCAACTCGGTCGGGACCGAGCAGTTTTGTACCCCGTAACAATATTATTCACGGAATGAAATACACGAAAACACCATCTAATGCCATCTAATCGTTTTTTGTTGAGCAGCCAACGAAATTATTCGATATAAATTACGATTCGATTTAAATTGAAACGTTCACATATCGCGCGAATTTACATTACAAAGAATAGTGAATATCGCTACGTTTAAATTAATCGCGTTGGTTTCCACGTCGGGTCGCCGACTTTAAATTGCTCTCATCGCGTTTTTAAAATACATATGTATGTATATCGAGCCATCATCTGGCAGAGCACAAAGCTTGTCGTGTTCCGCTAATATGAGCTTCATTCGATGACCTTTTGACCAGCGAGTACGCTTTCCAACTCACGGGACTCTTTCACGCGGATGAAAAATCGAATTTCCAAAAATGAAACACAGAATTTCCAGACTGTACGCTGTTACTTTCTAGACAAACAACGAACAACGAGCAACTTGTTTTATTCAACTTGTATCTCGAAGCTCACCAACACTATTTCAGTCCTCGAGCCTGTGCTAAGAACGAGATCTCGACAACAAGAATTACACTGTACATGTAACATCCGTGAAATTCGCAATAACGTTCTCGTGTTCACAAAAAAGCAGAAGCGTGTAGGTACAATTGTACATACAGGCATTGAAAAAAGCTTCAAAGATTCTAGCAGGAGCAACGATGATAACACGAAAACTTATCAAGCCGTTACTAAATAGAGTGGGAAACGTGACATTCAGCAAAGATTGCAACATCCGCCTAATACTCTATATTCCCTCCGCGTCACGATCCAAACAACCAACTACATAAACAGACAGATCATTTCATTGGAGAGTTTTGTACCCTGTAGCTAGAAAATTCTTCGTTTCGCAGAACAAATAACGAGCTGTTTATTTTACTGGGATGCTTTGAAAATTCTACGATTGCTCTTTGTCGAATTAGCCAGCCATCTATTTAACTAGAAACACGATTAAACAGTTTCGTTGAAAATTAAATATCCAACGGCGTCGACGTAAAAGTAGTAATGGGCATATTTTACGTTGAAAGGGATCCGTTTAACAGTTTTCAATTTCACTCAACGATCGAATGAAGAAACTTTTATTTTCAGAGGCTTCCAAAGCGTTTCCAAACTCGTTAGTTGCCTTTACCCTATACCCTGTTAACCGCGGAAAATTCTCTTTGGTTAAAATACCCAGCAGTCCCCAATTTGCGTAGTTAGATGCAGACATGTCGACGACTCAAACGCTGCGCTGCGCCGCGCCGCGCCGCGCCATGCCGTTTTCTTCCTTGTTTAACGGCTACTACGACAATCGAGGTATCGAAATCGAAAGCCTGACAAATGCAGATTTCACAACGTGACGTACTTTGCAAACGCACAGTCGACTTCTCTCCACGTCCACTGCAGGTCTTCGAAGCATCGACAAATCCGTCGGGGATATCGAAATTGCTCGAAACCTTTGAAAACGAGGAAACTTCGGTGTATGTACCTTCGCAACAAGTAATTCCACTTGATCGCGCGTTTCGATCCGTCGATCTCGAACGCGGTCGAGATTTTCTACGCCAAATAAAGATTAACCGGCGCGGCGTCAAAGTTCGCGGAGATTAACCTTTGAAACCACTTGAACCTTTGGGTTACCGATACGACTTGACGCGTATTCGCATCAACTTTCTCAACAGGTAGACTGTCGTACTGTTTACTGTTGCCGGTGTCAAGTTAGGATTTTGTTTAAACTTGAATTTGAAACACAGTAGTTTTTAGAGGTTGGCCAAACACCTTAACCAGTTTAACTATCGATTACGACTTACGAGTACTCGGATATCTTTGATTATTTTTTTGTTATCCTCACCGTTATCGTAAATGTTTTATCTCTCAACTTGTACGAGACGTCATCGGCAATTACATTTTAATTCGGAATTCATTTCTCAAAAGGACACCAAAGTTTCCCGCTTTCTCGCGGAACAAAATTCTTTACCTATATTCAGCTACTTTCTCCGGCTATCGCGACACTGGATTTATCGGATGATCATATTTTTATCGCTTTCTCTACTTCGCTCCTGGTAAGCACGCTTCTCCTCTGACATTTTCGACGACGCTGTCACTAACGGAGCAGCCGACCAACGACCACGGCTGCGAATCTCGGATTCTTGGAAACTTTAGTTGGAAACTTTACACATACAGTTTCTAACCACTGATCACTTTTGCCACCTCTTTCGAGAACTTGACAATCTTGATCGACGACACACCGTTGCTGTTTTTAAAGTCCTCATAGCCTCGGACTCGGATTCGAGCAGTTCGAGCAGTTGCGATCAAAGTAACTTTTCGAGTCTCGTCGAAAACGAACGTTCGCCACTGTAAAACTCTACTAGACCGTTCCAGCGTGGCTTTGACGATCCTCTCATCCTCTCACCCAAAGACACCTGTGCGGGTCCACCAATTCTCCAACCGTCGGCGTCGGCGTCGGCGTCGGCGTCGGCGTCGACTAAGCGCACGTTTTCCTACCAACAGCGCGCACACATTTACCGCACACGTGTTTACCGAAAACACGAACACAAGAATGCGCCGTGTTCGTATACCATCTCGATGCTGCCGCGTTTCAACAGCCGAAAACAATTTCCTCGCCTTGCGTTACGTTACGTTTCGTTTCCTTCTAATTAAATGGGAAACGAACCCTGGACAAGTTGCAGAAATCGCGACGAGTTCTGGTTGACCGCGCTACCACGACTGAATTGTACAAGAGGTAGTCGAACGATTATTTCTATAAGGCGGAGTAGAGGGTAAGGTAGGATAGGGTAAGGTAGGGTGGAGTGGGTGTAGGGTGAGTGGGGGGCGAGTCAACGATCGAAGGTGCGGCACATTCGATAATTCTCACAGAAGGAAAACACGAGGGATCTTAAATCCGCGCTGTTCGACCTCAGTCACGCGCGACTGTCGACAAAGCCGTCGCGGTCACAACAAACCCCCTAAGAAACGTTCCGTTTCAAACGGGGGAACTACGAGGGATGGGAACGCCGCGCCGCGCCGAGTTGTCGCGACGCTCTCGTGGTGGCGACCTCGTGCGATCACTCGTCGAAACATCTCGTCGTTGACGCTAACTGTGCCGAATTGTCCGTATGATAACACGGTTATAATCGAGGCAAGCTTCCAGTCGATATTGCACGAGTTGTTAGGGTAACGCGGATGGTGCTGCATCCCGAACCAAGGAAAAATCCTTGAATCGAATAATGGTAAAACAGACGACGTTATCAACTGATATCACGGTCGTTGCGATAACGTCCAAGCGCATTGCGTACGTTCAAGATTCGAATTGTTACAGAGTTCCAAAGAACGTCTCCAAGTTGCAGAAAACAGGAAATAGGAAATAGGAGACAAGAGCGATCCTTTCGGTACATTCAAGTATCGGTTAATCGGTTTGGCGTTGGCGATAAATCGATACCAGACAGGACCAAGAGGAAAAAAATCATCGCTTACCCGAGTGCTGGCCATTCTCCATCGATGGTGGTGGTCGGGGCTGAGGTACTTTTATTTGGAAGACTCAAACGTGGCCCGATGCGAAGTGTCATTGGACGTCTTCTGCGCAACGTGTAATCTGTAACAACGATGGGATAAGAGGTTTTCGTAAATCTGCACGACCCCACGCTATCTCCACAGAGTAGGAAATACTATTAGAGATGGGCTGCACGGGAATAGAAATGAATTTGAACAAATTGCCAACCAGAGACTACGATAACGATGAATTTCGAGTTGTTAGTTTCCAGAGGTAGTTGCACGTGAAATGCCGATCTAACCATTACATTTATTTATTTATACGTTTCTCTGTTATACTTTATTTACAAATACAGTATAAACAGCTACGATAGTTTAAACCGATGTTTAATAATGCGTTGTTTTTCACATTAAATACTTTTTTAATTAATGAATAGCTAAACGGTTCTAATAAAAAACAATAAAGTACATGTACATGTATCGTATAGGCATAGCCTTTGCAAAGCAAACATATCGTCACTCTCGTATCCATGTTTATATCGTCATCGAGAACATTTTTTGCGATTAATTCGATTCAATTCAATTCTTTTTCTATTCTGGGAGTGCATCGCACCGATTTAGCGTAGGTTATCGGTCCACGACAGCAGTTGAGATATCGGTCCACCGCTATACAACAACGATTCGAACCAATTTATCAGCGCGCAAAGTTGTCATACGTACAAAAGAAAATTCAGTTTTACCATTTGCAGAACAGAGGGAGTTTCTTCCTTGAAAAACATGCGGTGACAAATACTGGGGCTGCGGATTCGTCGGAGTTGACGGGGAGGTACGACTGCTGGGGGTCGGCATTGCTCTCCAAGGTAGTAATGCATTTTCAACAAAGTGTTCCTCCGATGTTGGCACCTCATTGGTTACCCGTACCTGAATTTCCACAGTCTATAAAAGAAAAACGGTCAATTAACGATGATGATAATAACGTTATTTGCTCTGAACAACGAATTAAGAGGAAAATGATAATGTGCTGACTGATTCACCGGCAATTGTTGCGACGCGCGCAAAGTGAGTGTGTGTGGCAAGCGCGTGCGAGAAGGAAAGACAAAAGGACACGGGCCCGAGACCCCGAGAGAGTCAGCCGAGTTTAGCGCGACGAACCTTGAGTTGTAACACCGATCGTTTATTAAATATAGTATTTTTCCTTTGCATAAAATCGTCCGTTGTATCTCCCACCGTTGATCCCACAAGAATAATACAAAAATTATTCGTGTGTTTTGGTTTAGTTGATTTAGGACGAACCTGTACGGTGGTGAGTGTAGTAAAGAAAATGCTGAGAGAAAATATGCGGTGACATATGATAGCGAAAAGTCACTGGGATTCTCGACGTCTCCGGCTTGTGTCGCGTGGTTGCCCTTGGGAACCTCTTCGTTCCGTGTCATCGAGAACGCGATTCTTCGCTGGTTCGAAAAAATCAGTCGCGTAAAAAAAAAAAGGTCGCGAGCTGATGTACGGTCAAGGCAAAGCCTCGGTATCCGTTAAGAAAAGAGACAAGCAAAGGCTGTTTCAAGAGTGAAACACACCTCCGTGAGAATGTCTCGCGCAATTTTCTTTCCACGTTCGATAACTAAATTCCCCTCGACATTAATAACTTTACATTGTAGTTGTTTAAATAATTAAATGATACGGTCGACGGTATTCCATTAAAAACTTTGTTTTTCTCGAGTTGTGAAACTGATTGTGAATAGAGTAATTACTCGTCACAGGGACAGGTTTGCTTGCGGTGTTTTATTCCGCTGGCTCCAACTAAATTTCCGTACACTGTGAAACGATCAAATCTTGGCTATACAAGTGTACTCGTATATTCTACTCGACTGCGCAGTAAAATTACTGCGTAAATCGTTAATCTGGATCGTAAATGTCCAAATGGATTTTTAAATAGCTTTTCGATGAAAACGCGTTTCGCGTTAGGTCGTCAAATGACGACGCAATGTCCAACCATCCGCATGCTTTTGCGCACTAGAATTTAACGAACATCCTGTACCCGATTACAAAGTTTTCGCGTTATTTCCGTTCTCCCACGCGGAGACCTATCGATTCCGTGAGTTCGGGCAACAGGTAGCCAACAGCCAACAGCCAACAGCCAACAGCCAACAGCCAACAGCCAACAGCCAACTGCCAACTGCCAACTGCCAACTGCCAACGGTTGTTCCATCGTTACGTTAACATTGTTTCTATTCTATGCGAATCCGGCAAATCGTATTTTACTTTCCGTCCTCGTTGCTCCTTCATTTTTTTATCACCACTCTTTACGCCCAAAATCCCACATAGTTTCTTATCGATTCTCTATTCCAACGTAGCTGGTCGATCCATCCTCGGCACTGTCAATAAAGCCTTTGGAGTCTGATGGATGAGAAAGTACGAAAGTGTGTGGAAGGAGAGAAAGGGAAAAGAGAGAATTGCGCATTTCTCTCATCAACAACGAATAGACGAAGGTTAAAAGCTCGTTTGTAGTCGAATAAAGCATTCTTCGATGAAAAAAAATGTGTTCTTATCCCCGGTATAAATTTGCTTGGAATAAATCGCTTAATTCGTTATTTAGTCGGATAGAGAAAGACATTTACCTTCAGACGTGTATACGTATCAACGGAGACGTCCTGTTTGCCTAACGCCTAACCAATTTCTGCAAACAGTTAAACGATTCAACTCCTCGAATCAGTCAAAGTGTAAACGAGTGTAACTCGCTTTCGCGTTGTACGCGTTTGCTTACAATGACAAATATTGCATTTATACATGATACGATTTATGACTGTCCTTTTGTTTCACAGGCCTCGAGCGTTAATTGCGTATCGATTTTAGCCAGCCCATCTGCCACATTTTTTCTTTCTGCGACAGGTTCTCTCTGATCCCTTGTCTCGAAAAATCCTAATAACAAAATGTTCGTACCTCTGACAATGAACTTGATATTTATTCGTGTGATCGATAACAGGCCGGATAGATGTTCCGAACCACGTGACATGTTTCAGACAAACTACATATGTACATTGTAGCGCAACGGAGGAAACTGTTCCGAGGATATCTGGAACTTGGCCGATCATGACGCACCATCGATAAATCGTAATTCGATGAAATATGATTAAATAAGTAAGTGTACAGATTGATCGTAATACGCGAACGCGATCGTGTAAAGATCGATACAAGGACAGTGTCCTTGTTGGGTTCATTATCATCGAAATGGGCACTGGAGGGCGAAATTTCTCCCAGAGGAATTCAGTGATTTTTTGATCAGAAACTGTAAAGCATCCTTTTTCTCGGAAAAAAGTAGCCCGTAGGGAATGGAACAACACTCGTATACAATATTTATAGATACACGTTTGAATAGCAAACTCCTTTCCTACGATACATTATACATTATACATAGGTCGAAGTAAATCGTAGTCAATCAGAGTACATCGAGGCGTATCACGGTAATTATCATATATTGATTCGCCTAATTTATTATCAGTTTCAAATGTGCGACCATCTTCGGTATGACGAATCTGTGATTTAACATATAACAAATACAGATTTCATGGCATCTAGGAACAAGCGGCCGGTTTTGAATGCAATTACGAAATTCCTAAACCAGAGAAATTCTCTCCGAAATCTGATTTCAGATTGTTCGCAATGTGTAAACCACGTGTTTCATTTACACAACCACTAAAATTGATTAAAGCAGCTTCGTAACTTTGTGTTCCGCGATACGACAAACATTGCACTGCACTCTCTCTAGTACTGTAAGTGACAAAGTGAAATGAATGTCACTTATACGCAAAAAATGATTCTCGATATGAGACACACGTGCTCGCAATTCCTTTGTTTAAAGTTTAAAGTTACGAACGGTAAAGAATGTTGAAATGTTGACTTGGTCCAACTATGATTTTTCTCCTTATCGTTATCGTAGATCGAAGCTGCGCATTATGCAGTACATATTCGCATAAAGAGAGAAAGGAAAAGGAGAAAGAGCTTCTCGGGCACGCGATTTCGCTGTTTACTCGGACTCGGACTCGGACTCGGACTCGGACTCGGACTCGGACATATGTGCAAAGTACACCGCATTCGAGTATGGAAAACTGGTTCAGGGTGTTTGATTGTCGCGGAAAATGCGGCTCGAGATGAAAAGCCGGCAAGTTCCGTGTGAAATAAAGAAGGCTGGCATTTGTAGATTTGTACGCGTCTCGTCGCGCGTCGTCGGATATATCAGAAAAATGGAACGACTTGTACAAACGCGATGAAAGATTTCTCCTTGTCTTTTCTCCTTTTATTTCCTCCTTATTTGTTCTGTGAAAAAGCGGGCACGTCACTCTTGATATAGGAGCAAACTTAAACCAGAGATATCTTACGACAGTTTCAAATTGTTATTAAATCGAGAACCTTCTGAAAAGAAATGCTCGACGAATGGTTGCAATAGTAACCGTCCAAGTACATAGGATTTCTATTTCTAATTAACTTACGAGACTGTGAATGATACAAAGACACACCGAAATACACAAACTGTTTTCCAAATGTCCAAAAATACGCTTTTTAGAAACGTTACGAATAGTTTCGTGGCAGCGGAAAGCATTAATAAGCGGTTAATAAGCGCAGCACATAGGAACATATCGAATGCGAGGATCGAAGCAAACCGAATCGGATGTTCCGGAAACGCTAACATCGTTCAAAGGACAAGATCAACATTTAAACTACGGCTAAACTATCAATTTGTTCTCTGAAATTTATTTTCTCGCAGACTTTACGGAACACGGTTATTAGCTTATTACCCATAGTGAGAAAATTCATGCGAATAAAGTCTCGAATCTGTAGTAATCTGCGCCCATGAACTACAAGTTTTCACAAGTTTCTAGTTTAAGAAGATGATCGATATTTTATTTCAGGTAAGCCGTTATAGTTATATATGTATAGTAGCGGTATACTATACGGTAATCAACCTACCTTGATTATCTATCGAGGCTCGTTTTTACCGACTCCAGTGCTTTTATTAGAATAACATTTCGTCGCAACGTTCTTTTTTCTCGCGTAATCATAAAACCCTTTACTATCGATAGCTTAGCTAATGATTTCGTTAAGATGTAAACTTTTTCTACAAAACAAATTTACAACTGAAAATAAACAATGTCGTTTTCCAAGCTCGCTTGATCAAAAAGATGGGTGAAACTATTTAACAGGATCGTGATTAAAGTAAATACGCGAGACGTTCGGAAACTCTTCAATTGAAATTCTACGGCGAGTTTATCGCGAACGTAGTATGTACATCGATGATCGATCTTGCGCAAATTAAGTTGGACGGAATGCTAGCGGCGGAATTATTACGCGGCGTCTAGTACAGAACCAGCTCTCCCAAAGGCACCATTGTTCGATAGCTTTTCAACTCTAACATTCTGGCAGCAGAACTACACCAGACGATCTTTGTGTTTACAATGTTGGAAATATAATCAGCCGAGTTCCATGTACACCTATAATATTGTAAAATTCGAGAAAATATCATACTCTCCACGATCACATCCCACGAGGAAATAATGCCAACTTTACTGTTTTCCAATAAAATAACAATTTCTAATTGTAAGCTAACTTATCTACTAACCGATATTCTAATCGAGCGAAACGTCTAACGAGTACACAACTTGTACAGTCTCCAATTAAAATTGCAACAACATACCGTTGACATATCTACGTATCTATGTATAGTATTTGCATTTATATAGGTAAAGTAGTCGGGAGTAAAATATCGAGAGTAAATTGTAGACAACGGTACGCTACAAATGTATAACAGGTAACATCTGGTTCTCGCATTTGAAGCGCGACAAGCAAGCAAACAGGGGACCAGAAGCGATCTTAAGGGAAACAAGAGTGGAAAATTAGATTTTCCTCTAAGAATGGTTCACGACGTCTCTGTATTTCCACTTTCGAGTTTCGAACTGCTTCTATGGAAGAAACGTTCAGCCCAACATGCTTCCTTTCCTATACATACATGTATATACTACATATACATGCATGTATATATGTACATATCACAACGTGAGCGCGATACCTGAATGGGGTTTAAAGGGCTATCGATCCCATAGTAAACTTACAGCGGAACGGAATCTTCTTTTTCAGTCCCCTCTTGTCCGATATTCTTGTCTTCTAAGCACACCGATAACTAAGCAAGCGGACAGTTTGCATAGCAAATGTCCAAGACATTTCGAAAAGCAATTTTTAGCCGCGATCGGTTTCAAGGACTTTGATAACCGTTTCATTTACAACTTGTCATTTCAACTACATATTATGCCGTCAAAGAGGAACCGTTCACAGCCGTAAATGTGGATTAAAACGATGCCCGGCTGCAGAGTAAACAAATTTACTTGGCCCATCTCGTGGTCGATATACCAGTTTATCGTCACCATTCGAGATAGCTTCCGGTGCGAGTCCAGGTACTCGCCTCGCCTCGCCTCGCCTCGCCTCGCCTCGCCTCGCCTCGCCTCACCTCACCTCACCTCACCTCACCTCACCTCACCTTGCGTCGTATCGGTGCATCATTAAGCGATAATGCAATTATTTTCATCCAACGTTACCCATTAGTTACGAATCTAATTACACGACCGCCCTATCTTTTGCTCCCTTTTCCGTAAACTTGACGGGATAGCATGGCATTTGGCATGGTGTATAGCGCATCAATTCGTTCTAATCTCGATTTCGGTTACGTCCGGCAATTCAGAAAGTGATCCACGTGGTCCGTAGCAAGTAGTAGTCTTTTAGACGTACGGATTATCGAACAGTATCTGGGGTAGGTAATATGTATGATATTATAACGTGAACTCGAGCCAACGAAACACGTGTCAAATACTTTCAACTAATTTTCGAAACTTTTTGTATAATGTAGAGTTCGGTTGAAAGCAAATTTCTATCTTCCGTTAAATAAAAAGCTTGGCCTGAACAATGTCGTCGGTTGGCACTACTTCGACAAAAGACTTTCTGATTCAAACTCGGATACTCACGTGCTGCATCGGAAACGCGGTGCTACCGACGAATACGTCCCATGCCCAAGTAAAGATTCGCGCGTACACGTACATCAACGACAATGCCACACTGGAAATTCAACGCTTCTCAGCATCTACGGAACCAAAATCTTCTCTTTGCAGACTTGAAGCGTCAACCTTGTCACGATACTTTCGTCGGAATCACGATTACGTCTCATTCCTGTTTAAGAATCGCGCAATTATCCAATTTATACCTCGTCGTTCTGTCGTACACGCGAGTTGTCCCGTCATCAACAGTCTACATTATTCTCCATGGACCACTTGCAATTTCACCTCAAGTATCCAATGATCCAAAAACACTAACGTCGACATACCGTGCACCACATGGAGAACAACTACGTTGTCCTATTGTTGCGTCTTAGCGGTACTTGAACAGACCTCAATAATGAACAGTTTACTACACATTTCAGAGACCGCAAACAACATTGCCTATATACACGGCAAACTACTTAATCCAATGATTAAGAAACACTAATGTCGAGATACGCTAATCAAGAATGTTGATATAATATTGATATCGATCATTTCTCGAGACACTAATTTCGGAGCGAGAATTAATGTGTTTGTTGGAAACTGATCGGTATAGGCAGGTGTTGATGGAACACGAACACTTTCGCTAAGAACGTTCGCGTTTGAGAGTCTGACCGACACTGACGGAACAAACGCGCGCGTGGCATCTGCCGCAGCCGTGATGCTTCAGCATCTAATGCATAGCGAACGTAGAACGCATGGCAAAAGTTTATTTCCCCTTTCAACGTCCCCTGACTTTCGCTCTCCGTAGAGCAGCCGGAAGGACGAAAGTAACGGACGAGTGCACTTGGCACTGGCACCCAATTCTTCCAAATAAATTCGTCCGTGGAGATTGTGCGACCGAGCGTGTCGATTATGCGAGGTACATCACAAGTTCCAAAGTAGTTCTGACTACACCACCTGTCATCCCAATTATCGTTAATTAATCAATATTCTGTATATAATTGGTGCAGTTTGGCACTCGTGGAAGGTAGTTTAGATCCTTGGCAACATTCAAGGAACGATTTCCATAGGATTTTTATTGAATCGAAATAGTTATAAAGAATTTTTGGAGACGGTGCCCCAGTACGGCCAACAGTGGTGACAGTTGTAACGTGTCTTTGACAAAAAATTTGTTGACAAGTCGTTAATAACAACTAAAATCGTACCGAAAACGGTCCTTGAATGTTGCCAAGGATCCAAACTACCTTCTACGAGTACCAAACTCCATCAATTATGTATCTAATACTGATTAATTAACGATAATTGCAATGACAGGTGGCGTAGTCAGAACTATTATGGAACTATGCGTGTCTTAAATGGTTTATAACTATTTAAATAGTGCATAATGATTCAATCCACTTATAGGGGAAGACTCCTAGAAGCCTAAGCTTTAATTTGTGTATGCAAAAGTTGATGAATTATTTGTAAATAATCGATAAACAATCGATAAACAAATGAGTATACTCTGCGCATGCGCACTGCCGTTTCCAGCCTCGGTGCTCTCTACCCTTCTCACACAGTATACCTTTCTCTCTCGCACAATTTCAAGCGTAGATCTCCACCTGCGTTCTGTTATCCTACTACCGACCGGGGTTTCCATGATCAACCGCTAGATGGTCGCCACCGGTCCGAAATTAAAGTGTTGCCACTTACTAATCGTCGAAAAACGGTCATAACCATTTAATTTCAATTAAAATCCTATCAACACTGGTTCTTGAATATTACTGATGATTTATACTGTCTTCCACGAGTACCAAGGTCTACTATTTATATACAAAAAGTTAACAAACAATTGAGTAAAGCTAATATTTTTAACAATATAACGTATAGTTGAAACTGAAATCCTTGGTGAATTTTTCCCACGCGACGTGACGCTGCAAACTTTCTACCAACTTTTAATACGTGAGCTTGGATTCCCCGCGGATCTAAACAACAGGCCCACAAAGACGCAGTCAGACGCAGTCAGACGCAGCACATACACAGCAGTAGTATTGTTCAACATATCGAACAGCTGATTTTGATTAAAGAATCGATATCTTGAGAAACAAACACAACTCACAGTTATCTTGGATCCCCAATTGTATTCTAACTATAACTTGTCATTTTTCTAAGTGACTGCAATTCAAATTAAACAAACTGGTTCCATTCATCACGAGAAAATGTTACGTTTTCACAAATTTTTTCAAAAAGGAAAGTGTTCTATCATTGGAATGGTGCATGTCGGTGGATTACCTGGTAACGAAATTTTATTCATTTTAATTTTACGCCTCATACGTTGAAGAATATACCATATTTGACAAAACTTATGCTTTCCATTAATTACGATTGTAAATTATTTTATTATTCTACATCAAATTCACCTATTAATCAACTAGTAATTCACCTATTAACCTTTAATTTATTAAACGAATAATTTAAATTGACAACTATCAGGGACACCACTGTATTGCGGCGATACAACTAAAATTATAAACAATGCAGTCGAGGATGCTACAATTTATAGAGATTCCAATGTCGTAAGTGTAATAACTACAAGATTCGTGAGTTAGCTAAATGGTTATTTTAACTTACCATGCTTTACTTTAAGGATGGTATACTAGTGGAAAACATGCACGATGTTCCATACGTACGATCCAAAGACTTATCTCCTGAAACTGTATCGATGATGACTCGAGTCTGTATAGAAATTAAAAGAATATTACCTGAAAATATACCATGTGGCATACAGGTATATGTCTAAACATTAAATTGTCTACGATAAACTAATGTAACGTTATATACTTTCATTAAAAAAATAACAATAGATTTTAGCAGGTTGTAACAGAGAAGCTGTAGCTGTAGCAAAAGCTGCCAATTTTCAGTTCGTTAGGATAGAAGGATTTGTATTTTCTCATATAGCAGACGAGGGTTTGATAGATGCATGTGCCGGTCCTCTTTTGCGATACAGAAAACAGATCGATGCCAATGATATTCTTTGTTTCGCTGACATTAAAAAAAAGCATAGGTGATTTGTCGTATTTCTATAAGAAAGAAAGTCAGCAATTTTATTCATCTCACGATTTCCGATCTTTTGTTTCTGAATAGTTCGCATGCTATCACTTCCGATGTAAGCTTAGCAGAAACAGTGAAAGCAGCAGAATTTTTCTTAGCAGATGGAATAATACTGACAGGAATCGCGACTGGCGACCCAGCTGATATAACAGAGCTTAAAGGTATCGTGTTCAACATGATAAATTCATAATTTATAATTTATTTGCTGAAAATTTTGTAGAAGTTAAGCAAGTTGCTAAATGTCCAATCCTTATTGGCTCTGGTGTTACGATAAGCAATATGGAAAATTACATGTACTCTGATGCAATGATCATAGGATCATACTTTAAGGTTGACGGTGTTTGGAAAAATGCAGTTGACAAAAAGAAAGTTGTTAATTTTATGGTAAAATTGGAAAAACTACAAAACATACAAAGTTAATATCATCTTAATTCTATATGAAATTGAACTATTTTTAATACTAGGTTATTTGATAGCATTGTTGTTTACTATTGATATATATATTTAATACATGAACAATTACACAAATATTACACTATACCGATAAATAATTAATTTTTTCCTTAATTTTTAATCGAACGTCTTTGTCGTTATAATAATCGACAATTATTGAACGTGTGGTATCTGTTGCTCTTTTTTAACGTGACGTTTTTATTTATACGTGACAGATGAAATGTAATTTTTCAGCATGTAGAAATTGCTTGTTGGCAAAATGATTTCGCGTTTTCAATAATATGTGCCAAATGTAGACGCGGTGCTCGTGATACTGAAAACATGCCAAAGAAAAATTTCAATCAAAAGAGTTTATGTTGTTGAGAAATATTCGCATAGCATTTCCATGATGTAAATAATAATCATTCGTAACAACATAAAAGCTTATTTCTATAATTATTAAATCGACTAATTGTAAGCGTCGGTAATAAACTAACAACTGACTATATTATATTTTTATTCGTCAACTATTTTATTATTGGTATAAACTTTCGCCGGATTCAAGTGTTTTTATTTGTTACATTGGGTTCGGTGATTCCAGCAGTAGCGATAGCGCCTTATTATATGAGAAGCACTGCTATAGCTACAGTGCTACATATGATGCCATCTTGCCACTATGGGCAACGATGTCGCTGCGAGCTAAGCGAAACTATTTTATACCGTGAAAATATAGTAGCGAGCGATAATTAAACAACTATTTCTTAGGAATAGATGGTTTATTTTGTACAACGGCGATATTCGATCTCGAGAAACGGTACGAATCTTTCGAAAGTAGAAAAGTTTAATAAAGGTTGGTAAAAAGGAAGTTTTCCAAGTATACCAGCATTAAACAGCGGCCAGCAGCAGCTGTTCGCCCAGCTGAGCGTTCCCCCACCCATGATTACTGCTCACCGGTGAATCGATGAATTCTCGGGCCCTTTGTTATATTGTTGGTTGTTGATCGTTACCCTTACCCCAAGCCGCCTCGTGTCATATACGTATGCCCATTAAAATAAAAGCACTTTGTTAAATTACGAAACGTTCAAGTTACGTCGGCTGACGTTAATACAAATATTCCATCGCGTACGCACGTGAAAACTACTATCATAGTCGAGCCGACGATCAAAATGAAACTAATAATCACCAGAAATATTTTCGCTCTGTTCTCCGGTTTGCTGGAATTCGAGGACAGCTGAATAATTTAATATTCATTTGTTTTAAATGTAGCTGCAATGGCACTGTGACGTTCATGTACTTTTTACTCCAGCGGATGTATAAGATAACGTGGAATTATTTGGAAATGACAAGCAACCACACAGTAACATACTCGTATGATTATTTAATAATAAATTGGAAGTTGGTAGGTTAACGATAGAAAAATAATGGTAAGAGAGAAATATGTATAAATGCACGATACTTGGTAAACGGTAGAATGGGTATATGTATATAAAGGATCAATTGAATTGAGAAGATTAATATTTCTTGTTTCAGTAGTTGTCTGGTCTCGCGGGGTGTAACGATATCTACATATATCACGCGTAATATAAATAACAGCAGTTAAGCGTTACATTATATCACCGCGGTACATATTTTATGCGAGAGAACGAGAGGCTTGTACCGGCAGCTCCAAGTTTCAAGACACCGAGACACGCATCGATTTTCCACTTGCTGCATTTGCTACGATTTCATGGTTCTCTCGTTCTTACTCTCATCTCGTACAATTTGCAATTTTGTCCAGACGAGAAAACGATTTTGCATTATTCTCAAGTTGTCGAAAGACAGATTTTCTTTTGATAAACCGACGGATCGGTATGCACGGAAACAATGTATCTACACATATGTATATGTATACACATTAACATACATATGTATAAGAAAAGAGTTTGAGAGTTTATCGATCGTAGAAGATGGATCGATTGATCATACATTAACGATAAAATCACGTAACGGTTATTTGAGGAAATCGAGATGGCTGGTTCTTCCAGATACGAGAGCAAATAAATTTTCAAGATAGCCAAAGAGCGACCGAGCTTGCCGAGAGGTGATCGATGCTCGAAAGGGCACGGGCGCCTCTCGCAACGCGATACTACGTCCCTGATATCGTTTATAAAAGCCCTCCCCGCATCTCGTTCCCCCACCAACAAGACCATACCTCTGCTCTCGCCCCTCGCGTTGGCTTGACTGCCCAGCCAGCCAGTCGAAATCAGCTGACGACTATTACTGCGGGCAGTTGCTACCACGGCTCCTCACACGCAGCACTGTTCAGGCGAGTGAATCCTTTACTTCATACACTTTTCCTCCTCGTTGTTTTGTTTTGGTTTTTTTGTTTTCTTGTTTGTTTGTTTTTTACTTTTTGTGTCGAAATCGAAACGAGGGTCAACGATATCCCGTGAGTCTCGATATTGCATATATGTATCTACACGCCAACAATCGGCGTTTTGTCAGTGGTGATAAAAGGTCGGACGTGTCCTTCCTTCCTTCCTTCCTTCCTTCCTTTCTTCCTTCCTTTCTTCCTTCTTCGCCTATATTCTCTTGGTCTCTTTTCTATCTGGCCTGTCTACCTCTATCTTCGATATGTATCCGTGAGTGTAAAGTGCGACAAACAAGAAAGAGGGAACCAACGATACATCGCAGGCCTAATGTACGATTCGTACTGTACGACTGAGAATGGGTCTGTGTTTGCTGTGTGAGTGTACGTGAGTGGCTGATGAACCGTTCGGGATGCAGTGTGCGGATTTTCCATTTAACTACGTTATTATTTCATCGAAGAAAAACTGCCCGAGGTTGCCCACTCGTTTCTTGTCCCTCTTTCGAAGGAAACAGAGCGAGAGAGCGAGCGAATTCGAGATCAAGGTCGTTGTCACTGGCAGCTCGCGTGTGTACAAGGAAACTTGGCTTTTTCGTCGAGAACTGTACCCACGCAGGAAGCATTCCCGTTTGATTGATTACCTAGAAAAGTTGAGCTACGCTTTAGCACTAGGTGACCACGTAACAACTATCCCGTTGTGTTTTTACACGGTGTTTGTTGGTATCTACCAGGGTGTCGTATAGCTGCCTAAAACCTACAACCTACAACCTACAACTGGCTTTGTAGCTTGTTGTTCCATTCAACGTAAAAGAGGGACGTCGTTGTTCCATAAGTAACGTATTATCCGTCGCGTAAAATTCTGCTGGACGATGATATCGTTGATCGTGACGTTTCGCGAATCTTATCGACGGAGAACGCTATGGAGTCGTCGCGTTTGTGAAAGTGATATTAGGAAGAGAGCAGAGCAGAGCAGAGCAGAGCAGAGCAAAGCAAAGCAGAGTGGCCTTGTAACGCGGTCAGGATCCAAGTACAAACAAGTAGGAGAGGAACGAAGCCGTGTTTTGTGTGCACGTCGATGCGATAAAGCACGAAGGATGCCAACGAGAGGGAAGGAGGTGACATATGTATAGTAGTGGGGAATTGGATCGAAACAATGCAGTACAGGAGTCCGCTTGGTAACCGCTTGATCGACGGATCGTGCACGGATTGTTACAAGTGCAAGGGCAATGGCAATGGTGTATAACTTGTACAGTACAAGTCGTTCGATGGTGTCGTGTGGTGTGCGGTGCAGTTTGGAGGTGTACGGTGCGGTGCGGTGCGGTACGCCGTCTTCCTGTTTCGCTCGACGACGCTCTATTTCTGACAAGCGCCAAGGAACATCGACAACGTTTGTCTGGACGTTTTCTCATCGAACGTCAATTGTGCAATGTCGTCGATTCGCGAACGGTGCGTGAGCCAATGCCCTTTATTTTCCTCCCGATACATCCTTTTATCTATCCGTGGATAGAGCTAGATACCAATCATGTCCCTCTTGTTTTTCTTTTCTTTCGATTCTTTGCTCCATCACGATTCCTCCAACGACTCTGTTTACTCCAACTTACTTTGAACAAACGAACGATTACTTGGCAGTATCGACGAGATAACTCTTACTTACTCTGTTTCACGTACAACTATCTTGCTCTTTGTTCTTCGAAATCCTCTTATTGGCGACACTGCGACTGTCGACTGGTCGATCGGTAACAAACTATCGCTAAAGGTGTTTAGCCAGTAAGGAGTCGATTTGCTTAAAAATAAACGTAAACGAGTAAACGAATCCAAGTTGAGAATATTCCGTTTACACGATAGGTACATACATATTTGTCTATCTCAAAGATTAAGCTTTCCGAAATAATGTACAAGAAAATTGTAACATTACTACACTGCAACATCAACAACACTGTTTCAGTATATTTTTAAGTGTATCTCGAATGTTCCTTTTTCACTTGTATCAGTCAAGTTCAGAGGGAAGAAATTGTTGGCAATCGTTCTATCCGTTCTATCGTTGAAACTGAAACTCGTCGAGTTGATTCAAATAGCTACTTTCTCGAACAGTATTCGTCAAGTTTTCAAACGAATTTTGTTCAAGTTCAAAGTTTCGCGGATCTCCCATTTTAGCCTCCATCGATCAGCGCCGCCGCGCCGCGCCGCGCCGCGCCGCGCCACGCTGTCCCGTATTATTAGAAACTATATGGAAACCTGTATAGAAATTTCATCATCATAGTCGTTATCGTTTCCCGCTTCGCTCTCTTCGGAACGAACAAAACTGGTTTTAGTCATTTCACCGTTGTATACGTCGCACGTTTCCCCGTTTCATCGGCAAACACATTGACCCCGTTAATCGCTTCTCTACCAATTTTCTTGGTCGTCACCTTCTGCGCAAATGTTAACGGAGCCAGATACCAACGTGCGTTGTTATGTAAACTAACGTCAGCGATGGTTACATAATTTTCAAGATAAAAACGGAAATGTTTCTTTTGGCACGCATTCGCGCCGATGCGAATTGGACAATTGCATTCATCGGATCGATGATTCGATTCGATTCACGTTGAGCAGAAAAATGATTCGAGTAAAATTCTGTCCATCTCTAACCGCGAGTGACCGAGCCCGGAGTCGATGCTTCTCCCTCGATGGCCGATGGAAAAGGTTCCAAGAGTCTCTTCCTCTTTGTATTCCATATAAAGAGTCTATCTATGCGAGAGAGAACGTTATTCGACCATCTTTCCGTGGCGTCGCGTTGCATCGCATCGCATCGCATCGCATCGCATCGTATCGCATTGCATCGCATCGCGTCGAGTCCGTGCAAGTTCGCTAGCTTTTATATGTATGTACTTGTACATATGTAGCTTGACTAGTGACGTATCGTACATATGATCGCTCGTTTGCGTTGATCCCGTTAGAATCGAACCGATGCCGATGAAGAGAAGCAGACTGTAAGAAATTTAGACGACACCGAAACCAAACAACGCAAACGGTGCAAAACACTCTTCACGTGTGGCGGAAACAACCTTTCTCAAACTTGATTTTCTGCCGGACGCTACACCTTCGACATAGGCAAATTTTAGACGCAATTAACGTTCGATTCCGATACCCAGAGAGGATAACTCCGCTTGTATTTTTATAAAAATTCAACAACATGCTCGTGTAATTACCTAATTTCCTTTGGAACTCGGATCGACTCGGTGGCTGATGAGTCATTGCTTTTTGCGCGGTAGTCATGTCTACGAGTCACGATACGACGTGAAAACGCTTTTTACCGCGACTATATGTATATATAATGACTGCGATATAGTTGCGATGACTTTAGTTAGTTTATTTGAGAATATGAAAAGCGTGTCCGAAATTGATTTTTTTTATATCGACAGAAAATAGTTTATCTTTACTATTTTATTCGGCAAGAATGCGATCAAGGAGAAAACTAAACGACTAGGTTGATGGGATCACGGCAGATGATTATCACGGTTGTCACGGTGTCACGGCTAAAAAGAACACCATTCCAGTGTTAACAGTGAGTTTCTTGGTCCAATATATGATATATAACTAGGCGATCGCTACTATGCTTTCAATTGGTTTCGAGAGGATTATTTCAGCGAATAATACTCTGCTTCGTAGATTACGTTTGCAATCGTTTGTTGAAATGAACAATGTTCAGTCGTAACATCAGAAACGCGAGCTACAATTCGAGCGATGAAATCAGTGACTCTTCTGACGCAACCGATAAAGCCTACGGTACCCAGCATGATTAGCCTGATTATGATTCACGAGGAAGGAGTGAAACCGATGCTCTATCTACTGGTAGCAGTCGTTATTCGCGCGATATATCTCCATTCAAAAAAAAAAAGGAACACGAGATAACACTATGTCTCCATCGACCACACCAACGATTACCGAAGAAACAATACACGTGTGAGAAGGGTAATTAACAGTGAAGTAACAAAGATATCGTCATCGCTCTTTTTACATGGAAACAGTCTAGAATGTCGTTAGATTTTTTTCTCCCTAAAAGACACGAAATATTTGCTTGCACTCGATATTCTAATGCATCGATTTAACACGTTCGTTACCGCGCGTTCATTCATATACATACAGACATACATGTACGTGACTCTGACTCGACGTTTTCATTTCTAATCGGTCTTTTAACGTTAACGCATCGATTTAACACATACATAAATACAGAAATACAGTAATACAGAAATGCATAGGTATTTACATATCCGTATCCGTGACGCGCCGATTCTCCTGAGAGAGATCATATTGCACAACACATTCTCTTTCGTGTTCGTTAAAACAAAGGAAATGTGAAATGTGTACCAGCGTGCTTTACAATTACAGCTTTAGACAAACAATTTACGTAATGTTTGTCAAGTATCGATGTAAACTGACTTTGCGAGATGAAAAGTTGCAAAACGAGTCTATTAGTTCCGTTGCGTTTGAATCCAGCATACTTGAAGGATTTGTACCTTTAAACAAACGGTGTAAAAACTAAACCGTTGTCCATCGGTATTGCATAATTACGTCGAGAAACGTTTAACAATAAATAAATGTCGTCGTGGCGAGTCGACATCAAGATCAACATCAACTTGAACAACACCGGTGCCGTGTTACATATACATATACATATACATATACATATACATATACACATGTTGTATGTAGAATATGTACCAGAAACAACGCAACGAATGACACAGGATCGAGAACAC